GAATCGTTTGTAATGTGCTTGTTCCCACCATCTGTCAATCAGCTGCATCTGGAAACAATCCACCGATTATGGAATGAGATGCGCTGACGTTAGTATGCTCGGAACTCATCGCCCCCATCGCCGTTATGAACAACTGAGTGAGTATAAAACAAGCGGAGATGTGCGGAGCAAACTGCACTTCTCGAAAAGCCAGACATCCTATTGCTCAAATTTAGGCATACTGTACAGCAAGTTAATAAGTCCTTCTACACGCTTCGCATGCATTTTCGAGAAAATCGGATCTTCTTTCGACTCGCTTTTTCATCTCTGTGTCACCTAGTATTGGGTCCAATAATATCAAAGTTAACGATTTGTGATCCTTCACAAACAACACACCGTGCATAGTGTCCAGTTAGTATGGTCCTTTCAAAAAAATTATAAGTCCTCCTACATGATTTTGAAGTTTTTTGAACTCTACAAAATCATTTTTTCATTCTGTGAGCTAAATCGTGGAAAGTATTTCTAAAAATCAGCTTCTGCGAGACTTTACTAATTATCAAATGCCAAGTAAGCCCTGATTTTAATTCGATGCTGCGATTGATGTGCTACAGCAGAGAGCTACTGGAAGGCTTAACATTATATATTCACTAGCTAGACCTGTATTTGAGCCATAGCAGCGTACTGATTCAGGAATGATTGCCGCTCCTAGAAGAGCACTAGCTTTAAGTGGGAAGCCTCCAACTGATTTACAAAGGCTATCGAAGGCTTGAGATGAAGATGGACCTACTACTCTTTGTCAATGCTTCATGAAAATCCATTTCAATCTCAGAGACTTGAGGAGATATACGAAACATCGTCATCCTGCAAGAGAACCTAATGCAGAATCCTAATGAAAGATAGCTAACAGACTGAAAGCATTTTAGAGAGGGCACAGGTCGACTTGTGTTAACGAGTGGTACAAGTTATGCTGTCGTGAATTTATTTCCAGAATGAATGATTCAATCCGCTCTTCACACAGTTTCGTTCAAATAATTTAGAATACGTGTTAAATACCCGTTCGATCCGGTCAAACGATAGGTAAACAAGGATTGTAGGTTCCATAACCCTTTCTTGGTTATTATCGCTCACGGGTTCTGTCTTGACGTCTGCTCCGCTTGCCGTCGTTGCGTACTAAGATCTTTTGGTACTTTTCCGTTAGCCAAGCGGCATTTCGGTCCCTTGTAAGAACGTATTTCTCGGTCTTTTTGATGTTCAACTGGTCGTTCGCTAGCACAAATCAAAAAAAAAAACTTGAGAGGCTTATTTCATCTTGAAAAGGACTTGTTACTGCACTAAAAGAGCAGAAATAATTGTCTCTTTCTCAGTTAAAGATTTCTCGCTGACCAGAGCTTTTCCTCCGAGGTTTTAGTAATCAACTGATAGATGAGCTCTTCAAAATTCTAATAACTTATTTGCTTCCACAATGGACCACGTATTACGCTGTAACAGCCAAAGGAGGATTGGGTATTGCAAAACTAGACCACTTTTTTATCCGCTTCCCACTTTGATGCCTTAAAGAAAACGTACTTTTGGTCGTTCTTAATGTTCAAGTAACCATTCCATAGCTCAGATCATAAGAACTTCAATGGTGTATTTCATATACAAAAAAGGCCTTTTTACTTTACTGAAAGAGCAAAAATAAATATCTTTTTCTCTTTCAATGATTTCTCGCTCACCAAAGCTTTTCCATTGGAGTTTTAATAATTAATCCACAGATCGGAATTTAAATATCATGATGATTTATTTGATTTTAAATATCGACCTCGTTTCACGCTCTAACAGCCAAAGGAAGCTTGGGCTTCGCAAAATTGAAAAAAGGATTGAATGCGGAACCCCAATTTTTTTTGGTTCTTATGATGCATTGAGAAGTCCGTTCAAAAAAACCAAAAACATTTTCGGAATCCCCGATATTTGATATATCGTCTGGTTGCTAAAACTGTATGAGAGGGTCTTTGGTCAGCGAGAAATCTTCGAATGAGGAATAAAATATTTTTGCACTTTCATCGCATGAAGGAGACTTTCTTGAATGCAAAATATACCATTCAGATTTTTTGATTTGGGCCATCGATTGATTTTTTAAGTGTTAAAAATGACCAAAAAATGTTTTTTCCACGAGATCGAAGTGAAGAGGTGATAGTTAAAGCGGCCAATTTTTGCGAAACCCAATATTCTTTTAGGTGTTATATCGTAATAGCAGGTCCATAATGAAAATCAAATAAATCATTGCAATCGTTAGGATTTGATCTATCGATTGGATAGTGAAACTCCTAAGAAAAAAGCTTTAGTTAGCGAAAAATCTTTCAATGAGCAACAAAATTATATTATTGCACTTTCAGCGTAATAAGGTGGCTTTTTGAAGGCAAGATATGCCATTCAAATTCTTTTACTTTTTTTTTTTTGATTTGTGCCATCAAAGGACTGTTTGAATTTTGAAAACCACCACGAAATACGTTTTTTACAACAGGTCGACCTGGCTCTTGGCTAACGGAAACGTACTGATCTTTCATTTCTACGTAATTACATGAAAACCACCCATCTTATCAATGTACTTCTATTACTACATAAACTGACACGACCTAGAAAAATAATGGACACGCTTATTTTTCTGCTAACCTTTTTCATCGCGTTTTGCCCTGCTTTACATGCGACACCTAGGGCAAGAGCTTTTCTGGAAAGTTCCTCCTCCAAGAACGCTAGTGGAGCATACCATCACCATTCGGTAGTGGGCTGCTAAGCTCACTCACGTACTTGTGACCATGCGGGAGTTCGTATGACATCCTTTCTTAGTGCTGATCGGTGGCCATTACATCGCAGTATTAAAGTCCTTGTAATGCCTGAGAATGGTCGCTGTCATGACTAGTACACTTCTGGATATTGCCATCCCACGAGGGGAGCGGTATCGTTAAAATAACAGACAGTTGCTCCGTCGTTGTTCCTTCTATCTCGTGAATGATCACTTTACCGTACCGTTCTCATTATGTCAGATATTTTTATATTCGTATCTCTTAGATTTTAATTCGGGTGTAGAAATGTTGAGTGTTACGCAGGATTTTCGACATCGGCTGGAAGTTGAACTCCTTTTTCACCTACATGAGGGGCGCGCACTACCACTATACCACCGATACTACTGATCTGCTACCACTTTTTCTTCGACATATCCGATCGTAGCTGTCAGCAACTAACCCTTGACGCTTTTTGCTCTGGTAACACATATCGGCGTAAAGCTCACTTACGCTGACTGCTGTTGGATATATATAATCGAGATAATCAGTCTAAATTCTTTTTATTTTTGACTGCCACTTGCAGTGGTATGATGTTATAGTATACTCAATATGTGGAGTGCTGTGCAAAAACGTTTGCGTCGGCCGGGATTCGAACCCACATCTCACTCTTTCCGTGAGCGTGTGCTAACCGTTGCACTACCAACGCAAAAGTTTTTGCACAGTACTCCACATATTGAGTATAATCGGATAATTCTTTAATTACACAGCTTTTTATGCTTATGGGGTTATATCACTGCTAAAGAGCAGTAAAAATAAAGAAATTTTTGAATTAGAGTTTATTGAGGCTTGGAACTATTGAAGCTTAATTTGCCGCTTATGACCATCATAGTGGTCACGTATATGAATGAGCGCAGTGCTACTGAATAAAAAAAGTGAATTTCCCCCAAGTGGATTCTAAGAATGCGAACAATTCCGTCGTTCCGTCATTCATTGGATTTCAGTGCGATAACGATGATGGACGAAGGAAATCAAAAGCCGCCCACACATAGGAGATGGCATATCTCGACCAGCCTCTACAAACAGGCGATAGGGCCACGAACCTTCAAACTGCAGATTGCTGCGCCATTCGTGGCCCCTAAGGCGATCACTAGGAAATATCGATTGTGAGTAGATCAAAAATCGACGACCCCACAGCGGCGACCGATGGTACATTACTCATCATTTGTAATCGATGGCAACGATCTCTAAACAATCTTCTGCCACCGCAAACTGCACAGAGCATTCAGAGTTGTCATCGTATAATATATTTATCTACTTATTATTACTTCTTCCTCTCACCGTTCTTTGAATGATCTTTGGCCCCTTCCCCCCGCCCCCTGAGGGTCCATCCTCATGGTCCTCATCGTAGATCACTTTGATTTTGAAGCCCATTTCTTTGTCGAATAGTCCATATATCGCCGAAAAAAAAATTCCATTAATTTATCGTCTAATATCTTTCTATGAAAAAGATACTTTTATATTTACTACTATCATTTACTTGTTTACGTACACGTACCTGTTATCGAAATATGTATGCATGTATTTATGTAAATAATATTTGTGTAATCGTACTTATTATAAATTATTATTTATTATTATTAGCAATGCATCTTATCGTATTTCATCCTAGTAGTGTCTTTTCTTCTTTATATCTTCCTATGATATATTAAAAATAATACATACGTTTTAATTTAATAGTAATTCTAATTATAAAGATAATAATACTAATAGGAATGAACCCATTGGAGTTGACAGATAACGCGTTGTAGCGTAGAAAGAGTGGAGTGCGAAACGAGCGTCGGTTGTGCAACGGTTTAGCACATGCTCCCGGAAAAAGTAAGATCTGGGTTCAAATCCCTGCTGACGCAAACGTTTTTGCACACTACTCTACATCATCGGGTTCATAGAAACATCATAACACCGCAGTCGGCGGTCAAATAAAAAGGTTTACTACTAAGTATAATAATAATTATCAATACTTTCTAGGTAATAACAATAATAATTCTGCTTACCTGAATACTTGAACGGTCTGCCTTCACTAATCATGCAAACCCCAGCGCATATTCTATTCCTTCCGTTCTTTCGTGATAGCCGGCCGTAGCGGTTGTTCAATTATAATAATAGTTGTACTCGAGATTTCCAGTGTTGCCACTGTGCATTTTTCGCCGTGCTATAATGTTTCATATGCTCCTAAGAGAATTGAGTGGTGAGCAAAAATACGACCTCAGACGGGAGTCAAACCCGCGTTTCATCCATAACCGGGACGCATGCTAACGCTGCACCACCACGGTACATTCGCATCACCCACTCATTCTTCGACATCTTTATGCGAGCTATCAGCCACCAACCTTTAACAGGTATGGTCGGGTATGCGATTTCGCATTATATATCCAGTTGATCTGATGACAAAACGCAGTGAAATTACGAGTATTGCCTATCACAGCGGCTGTCAGCTCAGCTGGCTTCGTAAGGCGAAAAAGACATACCCGACCAAACCTGTTGAAAGTTGGTGGCTGATAGCTAGCATAGAAATGTTGAAGAATGGTGGTGGTGCGAATGTACCTTAGTGGTGCAGCGGTAGTAACACGCGTCCCCGGTATGGATGATATGCGGGTTTGACTCCCGCCTGAATTCATACTTTTGCTCACCATCTCTTAGGTGTAATAATAGTGGTAATAATAGTAATAATGATATGTAAATTTTTAATTACAATAACAATAATAATACTAAAAATAATAGCATTGATACTAATAGTAGCATAATGTGTATTACAATAGTATACGAATACATTATAGTATTAATATAATATTAATATGAATATATTGTAACAGTATGTCAAATATCTAACAGTAATAATGATATCTATCCTTTAAGTAGGAGCGCATATAGCGCAGGGGTTTGGGTGCTCTACGTCGTACACGAGGTCAAGGGTTTGAGCTCGCGCTCATGATTCACCAATACATCCACCTCTTCGGGGTCTGCGAATTCGTACCAGACTGGTCTCGGACTGTCTGGAAGGATAAGCGGCACTGACTCAAGTTATTGGAAAGGCCAGATATGCATTCAATCATCTGAAACGGAGTTAGAAATTGAAGTCGAATGCATGGTGCATTCCTCATGGATTGATTAACGCCGAAAGCTTTATCCTTTTAAACCTTCTGAATAATAGTAATAATACACACCTTTTTCCACCGAAAGTCATCGTATTTAGCACTAAATCCTTCTTTACCTCCTTAATAAGATTATTTTGATGTTACAACTCACTAATCAATAATGCTGAGTGATATACAAATGGGGAATCTCGGGCGGGAGTTGAACCCGCGTCTTACCGCTCCCGCGGAGGGCGCGTGCTGACCATTGCACTACCATTGCGGCTCCTTCATTGCATTTCTCATTGCTTTTACTATCGATCTTTGTCTACGAACAATGCAAAGTACTATCTTGATGATATAAGATGACTTAGTGTAGATGATTCATATATTTTTTGTAATAGGAGTTTATATCTTCTTATTTCCGGAAGATTTTCGATTTCATAGGTTGAGGGAACAAGATCTGAGAAAATGCTTGTGAAACATTTATTTATGCACCTATTACACTCGAATGAAGACCAAAACTGATATATATGAAAAGGGATAAAGGATAAAGCTCTCGGCGTTGATCAATTTCTGAGGGATGAGCCATGTATTCGTCTTCAATTTCTAACATCGTTTGAGGTGATTGAATGCATATCTGGCCTTTACAATGACTCGCGGTGGCCTCCCGCCGAACCGTGTCAGTGCTGCTTATCCTCCCAGACAAGCCTGAGACCTGTCTGGTACCAATTTACCGACCCCGGAGGGATGGATGGCTTGGTGAGCCATGAGCGCGAGATCGAACCGGTGACCTCGTATGCGGCGCAGGGCACCTCTAACCACTGCGCCACATGCGCTCTATATATATATATTATATATATATATATATAATGTATATAACCAATATATGATATAGCATAAACTAATAATAACTAAAGGAGCGCAGGTGGCGCAGTGGTTAGAGGTGCTCTGCGTCGCACACGAGGTTAATGGTTCGATCTCGCGCTCATTGGCTCACCAAGCCATCCATCCCTCCGGGGTCGGTAAATTGGTACCAGACAGGTCTCAGGCTTGTCTGGGAGGATAAGCAGCACTGACACGGTTCGGCGGGAGGCCACCGCGAGTCATTGTAAAGGCCAGATATGCATTCAATCACCTCAAACGAAGTTAGAAATTGAAGTCGAATGCATGGCGCATCCCTCAGGGATTGATCAACGCCAAGAGCTTTATCCTTTATCCTTTTTTTAATAATAACTAATATGATAAACTAGGCCCCAAGCCAGATTGATGCGTTCACTTTCCACCATTGCATTTGAACGCAACAGCCATTCGTGCATCATCAACAATCTAATTTGCTCGCTTGTTAACTCCATCTTAAAATAAGTAAGTAAATAAATTCTATACAATTCGAAGCGGAAAAAAACGGGCTTTTAAATGAGCTTATAAACACGAAAAATAGCCGACACCCAAAAAAGTTACAAGCATTTTCTTAGGACTTTTTCCTCAACCTATTATTGTAAAGATTTCCCGCTTTTAAATAATAATTTGAGTTTAATGAGATCACAGCTTTTGCCATTTCACAGAGATAAGTAAACAGCCTTTGAAAATTCTGTGTACTTTCTCATTCGTACTCTTTTTAGAAGTAGATCCTTTACACTTGTTTATCAATATAACTGTCCTAAATCCTACTTAGTTATTATTTTGGGCCGATCAATATTAGTGATGTTGGTCGGAGTATCGATTGTATTCATCAAAGGCATAGATATAGCTCACCGCCGTTATGATCATCGTTGTATCGATCAATCGATCGATTGATCGGTTGAACCCACGGCTCAATAATGAATGATTCAATGAGTCAATGACTGATATTGTTATCCGCTGTCATTTCGACGTCAAGACCCGTTTCAGTAGGAAGTCTGGCGGTCTGACAATGACGATGTGCTCGCTAACTATATGACGCCTTAGCAATATACCTGTCGGCTAACTGGTTACCGAAGAGCGCGTGTGCCGCAGTGGTTAGAGGTGACATGCGCGACACACCTGCTTCTTAGTTCGGGGCCTACGCTTTGTATTCACTGTGCTGTACGCCATGCTGCGCACTTTACACATGTTACACAGCGGGAGATATTTCCTTTATTTTTACTTATAATTGTGAGTTGTTGGTATTCTTGGCGTTCTAGGGTCTAAACGATTAGGTGGCCCACGTAGAGATCGTAGCTTAACACGTTGGCAACGCTCTGAGCTGTTATTAGCTCACACCGCACGCGAACTGTGAGGCGACGCGGTGCGGCGGAAGTCTCTAACGTTGCGCGTTGCAGTGGAAATGAAAATGAGAATTTGTTTGGTAATCTGAGGTATTGAGGAGACGTTTTTATTGAATGATAGAAAAGTGGCATAGCAGACTTCTATTTATGGTTAAGGGGATGCCCATGTAACGAAAAATCATCTATGTAATACTTAGGAATTATAGTCTTTCTACTGCTTATTTCGCACTGTTTTGGTGTTACTTATATGACTTAGAGAATTGAGTGGTGAGCAAAAAACACGGCCTCAGGCGGGAATCGAACCAGCGTTTCATCCTATCCGGGGACGCGTTCTCTAAGCACTACAGCACCGAACCGAGAAGGGCACGTTGTTATGAAAGGGAACATATTGCTAGCTGTTAAAACTTCTTTCTGTCTTTTTCATCCACGTTTTGCGGTCATTCGACAGCTGAAGAAATGCCTATTCTTACACTAAATTTACATTGTAAAATGACTTTTATTTAACTTCCTGCTAGAAAAAAAAACTTAATGTTTTATATACAGAGTTCGTTTTAGTACAGATAGCTTTATCGATGTCTCTTCCATCATATTTTACTATTTACTGGCGAAGAAATTCCCTTTAGTGACAATAAAATTCCACAATCCATTAGAGAACCGCTACAACGTCATTGTAGCCGCCGCGCGACGACGCCGTGTGCCGCGCGGAATTTCAGCGCCGTTGTCGAAGTGTTAAGTGGTCCTCGTAGAGTTTGTAATCTGACCAGCTCGACTCTTATCGGCAGCTCCTTGTCATTATCGATTGCTCTGTTCCGGAAGCCCGTTCTTTCTAGGATTTCTCGGTAAGAGTGAAATTATTTCTTTCTAAGAAGATACCATGTTCTGATGGTCCCTCTTCCCCCCTCTGAGCCTTAGAGGGAAGCTGAACCAGCGTCTCATCCTTTCTGCGGACGCGTGCTAACTATTCGACCATTGCGGCTCATTGCTGTGCTGTCAATCTTTCTACGATACAGGGTGTCGACTCTGTCACAATCGTCCTCGCAAAAGTTGGACGCGGGTTCAACTCCCAATCGAGCTTCGAAATTTACATATCACTCCATTCTTGGGCATATGGTTAGTAGTCTGCACAGTTTTCCTTCCTCTAACCCGCTCGGGACCGTGGACCCACCTCCTCTGCATCTCTAACTCCCAGCGTGGCAAGCCCTGGAAGGATAAGCTATATCCTATCCTAAAGATGCTATACCTATACGAATGTTTCCCGTAACCCTGACTTGTAACCGCTCTGGAGCCCCACTCTTTGCTGTTAATCATTTCTTGACATAAGGTTCTCAAGCCATACAGACTCCTACGATATTCTAGTTGTCCTCAGCCGTTTTTTTTTCTGTCTGAAGCCCTATCAGGCCCTTTTCGTTACCGCCATGAATGTCGTAAATATGCTCATATCAGTTGCTTCAACCTATAAGAAATTTTAGGCAGGCACTAACCCCGGAGGTGGTTTCATTGGATCTCTCTTCGCAATGTGCTGGAAGCCGTTTGGATGTTGTGTAGGCGATACGTCGTCGGAGGCGAATTATGAGGATTTGTTACACGTTAGTTTCGTTTTCTAATTGAATTTGATGTTTTGAATTTCAAAAAAGCGAATGATTGAATTTGGCACTGCTTAACCCTTTCGGGACCGCTGACCCACCTCCTTCACATCTCTGACCCCCAGCATAGGAACGCAGTGAATATCTTATTATACTATTTCAGTTGTATTATTGTTGTTAATTTCCTACCTATAACAGCAATATACTCAGTTATAACACAACATGAGAATATAATAAAAACAATTTAATTGAAATGATACAATGATACATCTATTGCGTTCCCGCGCTGGGGTTAGAGATGCAGAGAAGGTGGGCCCCAGTCTCTACAGGGTTAATCCTTTGGCGCACTTGGTTGCATCGCTGACTCCCAGCGCGGGATCTTATGGAATGAATTATCGTATTACTTTGATTGTATCATTGTTGTTATTTCCCTATGTTATGTTATATGTTAATGTATTGCTGTTTTAAGTAGGAAGATATCAACAATGATACAATTCAATATGCCTGATAATCACTTTTGAGCCACGCATGTCGGTGGTCTATCAAGGAGGGCTGACTTATAGAGCCCGATACTCGTGTTTCGATCTTGCGATCTCGTCAGTCGGGCAGTTACCCTTTCTCGTCTTTTGCCAATCCTGTGTGGGTGCTCCAGTCCCCACACTAAGAGTTAGCGACGACGGACGTTATACACTCTATGTCCAGTGAAAAACTCACCAAACACAGAGTGTTGTACACTCGAATGCTCGTGGCTAGTATATTCAATATATCATATCTTTCGTTTCGAGTGTGTTTTCTTAAAACCACAGCTCAAATTTCAATATGCCTGGTAATCATTTTTAAGCCACTCATGTCAGTGATCTATCAAAGAGGGCCGACTTATAGAGCCCGATACACGTGATATGGGACAATAATACAGTTGAAATAACAAAGTTATACGTCCAGTTTGTTCCCACGCTGGAGCTTAAAAATGCAGAGGAGGTGAGTCCGCAGTTTCCGAAGGGTGCCGTTCACAGTTTTCTTTCTGAGAAACCAAAGACAGCGTGCAAATCAAAGTTCCACCTAATCTTTCCAGGCTCTGAAGTAGGCGAAACGTCCTCCGAAATGTCGACTGTTCAAGTAGATTTTTTATAAAACATCGTGTTGCGGCTCATTAGGGAGAGAACCGTGAACTATTTAATCTTCTATTTGAACAAGCACCTATCAATGAAACCCTTTTGGTACTGTTTCACCTTGAAATCTTAGAAAGCCACTGGTGTTTCCGTTCAATATATGGGATTCGAGGAAGAAGAGGGGTGCGTTCAGCTCTGTAGCTCAGTGTTAATCCCTGGCCCGTCAAGGTAGGGTTAACTCATTTGTGTTTCGATATAAGCCAGAAAAAAAAGGTTTATTTATGAACTTTAGTGAGAGAAAGCCATTACTAGTTGTAGAGTATTTCATTTTCATGAATACAT